GAGCAAACATAATACCAACAACCGGAAAATTGCAACTACGACTTGTGATCTCTCTCAATTCCGGAAGTTCTTCCAGACGAGCTAGAACCTTCTTGTATCAGAAAAGCCATAGTCCATCAGTCTACAGAACAAAAACACACCATAATGCTTCTGAAAAAATCCACCAATGCCAAAAATGAACCAATGCGGATGATTTTCGCTCATGAAAGACACTTAATGAGCATTCAAAGAAGCAAACCATTTCTTTTTGACTTAAAACTCAATGTGGCCCCTCTCAGTTACTTAATTGCTAAAGGCCAGAGATAGGTCAAGAAGTAACTCTTCACAAAAACTAAAATTTCGAATGTAACTTTGTTGGGCCTTCACCTTTTGAGCTCTTTCGTTGGAATGATGTAATTGATTAAATATTAAGTCCTACTTGATGGGATTTGGACCTTAGAATGGTCATATGATTATGGTATGGACAAGTTATGTATTGGGTAGGGCTCCCGTACAAAGGAGGCTCTACCAAAGTTTGTTTTGGTTATGATCCCGATGGATGGGATGTAACGACGTGGTATGAGGTTATACGGTACTCACGGATATTTTCCACAGGTTGATGGGTGATCAATGAGTTGAGAATGGACCATTTTGGGGCATCACAACTTGCCATTGATCACCCATCAACCTGTGCCAACGGGAATCATATACAGCTTGGGATAAAGCATCGTGCTTTTCTCCCTGAAACTTGAAGCAGACACTCTTTGGTGTATAAGCAGTGACCTTCTTCCGATGACAGTCAATGACACTCGATGTGTCGTAAACCAATCCATCATGAGGATGATATTGAACTCCGACATGTCTATGATTCTAAGGTCCACCGTGAGTTGAATCCCTGAGATCTCTAACTCACATCCCCGACATATCTTGTAAATGCAAACTCTAGTTCCTAAGGGAAAACTTACATGCAATGACTCTTTTAAACCTTCAACCTCTAAGCCCAAATCTTTCACACATAATGCAATAATGAATGAGTAAAATGCACCCAAATCAAATAATACCCATGCTCATAAGCGAAAGAGTAAAAATGTACCTTGAATTACCGACTGATCCACCGACACAGTCTGAGGTATGATGGCGTAGACTTAGCCCTAGGACCCCGAAGTCCTGGCTTGTAACCCCTATCCTCGACCTTGGCCCATACCCTGTCCCATCTGACCAGAATACAAAATCCTCGCTCATGAAGTAGTAGGAGCCTGTGCAGCACCCTAAAACTGGAACTGATTTCCCTAGCTTACGGTGGGATAGGGAGGAGTGAAGAATGTATATGGATGTCTCATTGATGACTGGGACTGAGATGTTCTTTGAGCAGAATCCCATTTCAAATGACCCATTTGGTGGCATATGTAGCAAGTCTTCTAGCTAACCTGATAGGGGACGCTCTGAAATTTCTCCCATATTGGGAGGATTAACCTTGGTCTTGGTAGTCTTACACTAGAGGATGAGGCGAGATAAGAGTTGGGTCTATTTCGGGTAATCTGCAAGTACGCAGATGTTTTTCAAGATGAATTACCGGGATTACCTTCATATCGGGATGTAGACTTCGCCATTGAGTTATAATCCGACGCATCCCCTATTTCTATGATGCCACAAAAGATGACACCTATGGAGTTGCAAGAACTCAAGGTCTAATTGTAAGAATTGTTAGACAAGGATTTTATTAAACCGATACCTCTTCACAAAAATTAAAATTTTAAATTTAACTTTGTTGGACCTTCACCTTTTGAGTTCTTTCATTTGAATGATGTAATTGGTTAAATATTAGGTCCTAAGTGATGGGGTTTGGATCTTGAAATGATCTTATGATTATGGTATGCATAGGTTATGTATTGAGTAGGGTTCTCGTACAAAGGAGGCTCTATTCAAAGTTTGTTTTGGTTAAGATCTAGATGGATGAGATGTAACGACATGATATCGAATTATACAGTACTCATAGGTATTTCTGCGGGTTGATGAATAGTCAACAGATTGAGAAAGGACTTGAATTTTGGGGCGTCACAAGCCAAGAAGTACAACTTATGCCATAGTTCCATTTTTCTTGACACCAAAACTCTAACATTCCTTTCAATATTGACCACTGAAATCAAGGCAGAACAGATCTCATTCCAAAGAATTAGGGATATGTTTCCTTTATCAAAGATACTACATAGACGAAACAGAATTACAAGGTTTGATAACCCATACTCCATGACTAACCAATGCTAGGGGGTAACAAACACTTTGTCCACTCTCTTAGCACCTTCCCTATCTGCAATATCCCATAACAGAACAAACAAGAATTCTTGACTTCTCAATGAACAAAAAGAATCATGAGTCATACTCACAATTTAATAATGATGAGCCCAGATTTAGACCAGGTCTGGGCCCTATTCATGGGTTAAGCCCAAACCATCAAAAAGCAGACCAAACCTAGCTCATAACCTCAGTTCAAGAGTCCAGGAAGAGTCAACAGACGTAGGAAAACAATCGGTATAGCCATTACGTTAAGGTAGTGCCCATCCCCAACTGTAGATATCCTCCCTGATAGATCAGTAGCTTGACCCTCATGTCACCGCCTTAATCAGGGCTCTGTACTTATAAATTATAAGCCCTCTACAAATGAAAGGGGGGACAACTATCTCTCACATAGAGATCTCACGCACTTCACCTTGAGTGTACTCTTGGACTTTCTCTCTTTCTCTCTTTTTTACTACCTTGTACTCTTTTATTAATAGAGTTCTTCGGCCACCGTTGCCACCTTCAGTGGTTAGATCACCTAGACCAACCACTTAATCTTTGCCTCTTATTATTGACTGTTTCATTAATTGTTTGACAACACACACTCGACTGATTGATTGTACATAAATCCACTTTTGTGCATCATCAGTTTAGCGCTACCTGTGGAAATCAGTTTGATTCTCACCTTATAGTTTTCCTATCTCCAATGACAATCACAACTAGATCCATGAACCACCAAGCAGAATATGAGCCGCCACATCAAGGGCGAAGGGAGGCATGGGCCAGAGTGGGCAATAGGGACGACTCAAGGTAATTTGAGGCCTAAAACAGTAATTTATTTTGAGGCCTTTTTATTTTTAGTGTTAAAAATTTTGATTAAAATTAATTCTTTTCATTTTTTGAGTTTTATAAGTATAAATTGAGTTTTTATATCTAAATTTTGTTATCATATTTTTTTTTTCATTGATAATATCGCTAATCTAATTATTATTTTTTTTGTGATAGTCAATTTTAAATAAGATTTTATTGATTTTAATTTTGAAAAGCTTCTTTTTGTAGAAGTAACTATTACAAAAATTAATAATAATATTCTATAAGAAATGCATACATTTGAAAAAAAAAAATAATGTTTTTATATAAATTGGAGTATTTTCTTTCATTTATAAAATCTGTTTTAAAATATTTTATTTTTAAAATAAATCTAAACTATCAACGTCAAAAAAATTGTTATATATTAAGAAACATTCGAAATCAAGATAATTTTTTTTAAATTATCAGCATTTAATAATTTTATTTTTTAAGTTAAATAAACAATCAAAAAAAATTCTTTTTTTGAAATTGATATGAAGAATGAGAATAAAAATGTGAGAGAGAGAGAGAGAGAGAGAGAGAGAGAGAGAGAGAGAGAGAGAGAGAAGATGTGATTAATAATGGATAGGTGAATTATGACTTGATTTTTGAGTATACCATCAGTTTTTTTTTAATAAAATTTTGATTTTTAGGTTTTTATTATTATGGGATGAATCATGAGTTCAAAAAATTATTAAAATTAAAATTTTTGATTGACCTTAAATTTTAACTAAGGCTTTTTTGTAGAACTTATAATTTTCATGGACTTAAAATCTTAAAGTAGGCCAACTATTTACCTAAAATTATGGGGCCTAAAGCCCAAGCTTTTTTGCTTGTATAGTTGGGCTGGCTGGTGGGCAAGTGCCCCCCTCAATTTTTTTTTATTAGTTAGGTATATATATTATATATTTGTATAATATATTATTTGTGTCAACTCAAAATTCAAGATAAAAATGTTAGACCCACATTTATTCAAAAGAATTAAAAAATTAAGCCTATTTAAAATAAAAAAATTTGAGTCCACCACTATCTACCAAAACTTATTAAAAAATCAAATCTTTGACCTATCACAATTCACTAAAACCTATTAAAAAAAATAAAAATTTTGGCCCAACATTAAAAATAAAACTTTTGCCCACCATTAAAAAATAAAATTTTTGGCCCACTTGACAGACATTGGTAATACCTATCTTATTAGTTTTTTTTTTCTCTCTGTCTCAATCAAAAGAAACAGGATAAAACTCCTTCCTTAGTTTTTTAGATTTTTTTGTCGTTCCTTGCACAATTGATGGGTTTAGTAGAGAGCATGGGCGGAGCTGACATATGACCAGGGGGGCACATGTTCACCCTCAATTTTTTTTCTTAATATTACCTATATGTATTTCAAATATTTCTTCAATATTTTTAATTATACTCACCTTATTTTTTTGGCACATAAATTATAGCCTTATTTCTATTGATTGTAAAAAAAAATATAATTTAGTTGGTTGAAATATTTGTGCCCCCCCTGGCATAACTTTCTGGCTTTGCCCCCTGCGCCACATCACGAGGTCCCACCAACACTGGTGAAAAGTAGACACGAGAAAATTCTATTTTTTCAGTAATTTGTGTTTAAAACTCAAATTCAGTGAAAAATAAGCATATTTTGGGAAAATTTGGTGCTCAATCGCCTCTGGCTATTTGATTGTCATAGATCTCAAAAAAATATCCAAATTCAAAAAAATATTCGCCTCAAATGGACGAATGAGTGCAAAGTTATAGACGTTCAAAGTTTTGTTGGTTCTTTATGCTTTTCTAATACTCCACCTAGCGCGAGCGCCAACAGCAAAGCCTACGTGCGTGCCAGCCCCTGTATCTCTTAGAGCATCCTGGCATCGCCCAGCCCTTGGCATAGCTCATATCCCAGCGTCTACATCAGCACCAGCACCAGCGTCAGCGCCATTCCTGGTGTCACCTATACCATTCCATGCCAAACCATGACGTCGTCTAGACGTGCTAGACCAGCTCAGGCGCCGCCCAGAAATGCCCAGGCATCGTCCAAATGTGGCCAGACCAGTCCTGACGTCACCTAGACATGGCTAGACCAACCCTGGCACCGCTTAAATGTGCCCAGACTGCCCTAGAGTCGCACAACCCTGCATTTGGTGCTGCCCAACACGTTGCTAGCTCCCAAGGTGTTGCCTAGTCTTCCTCCACTGCAAATGTCGCCGCCCTCATCTACGTCATGGGCGCCGCTTGTTCCAAGACGTTCGACGTCAACCCTACTCGTGATATGGGCCCCGCCCAACACCTCTCCTTCTTCCTCCGTGTTACCCAGGCACTTAATGGCGCCAACGCTTTCCATGACACCGCCTAATAGCTTAGCATCGTTGTCATCCCCTTTAATGCCTGGCCTCGCCCATAGATGACCCAAAACATCTCCAAGCCTTGATCCTGCCTCTCGAGAGCCTCTCGAGTCGCTAAAGGCACAACCTCTTTCATGCAGGCAGCTCAATCCCTAGCATGGCAGGGCTCTCTCGTAAGTAGCCAAAAAGCTCAGTCCAATCCTACCTCTGCTCTTATGCAAGTTGCCTCAATCTCTCTCACGAATCGCCAAAAGCTCGACCTTTTTCTGCCTCTGCTCTCATGCAAGCAGTCTATATCTCCAGTTTAGCGCTTCTCTCGCAAGTTGCTAGAAAGCTCGACCTAATCCTTCCTCTGTTTTCACGCAAGCAGCCTCAATCTCTAACTTAGCATCTATCTCACGAGTTGCTAAAAGCTCGGCCTAATTCTTGCCCATGTTCTCAAGCAACCTCTATCTCCAACTTAGCGACTCTCTCACGAGTTGCCAAAAGTTCAGCCTCACCCTGCCTCTGCTCTCACGCAGGCAACCTCAATCTCCAGTTTAGTGGCTTTCTCAGGGTCGCCAGAAAGCTTGGCCTAACTCTACCTCTGCTCTCACGCAGACAACTTCAATCTCTGGGTTAACACCTCTCTCACGAGTCGGCAGAAAAATTGGCCTAACTCTGCCTCTACTCTTATGCAGGCAGCCTCAGTTTCACCTTAATGACTTTCTCATGAGTCGCTAGAGGTTTGATCTAACTTTGCCTCTTTTCTCAAGCAACCAGCCTCGGTTTCCAAAAACTCGGCCTCAAGGCATACTGCTTTCTCATGAACCTTAACTGTTCCTCAACAGCCTAGTGTGCCCGCCTCTCTTTCGCCACTCAACACCTCATTGAGTTTGAGTATTCTTAAAGACACAGAAAAGCTGCAACCATCTGTGAATATCCAAAAACAAGAGTGTTAGCATGACCAAAACATACAGAAGACAAGGATGAACAGAAAAGAGGGGTACCATTGCAAAACCCCCTATTATGGTACCAATGATACTCTCAAGATCCCAGCCGACCTCTCTAATACCCGAGGGTGTCACAAACCTCCAAAACCTTTCCTTAGAAAAGTTCACATCCTACAGCATAGACACCAGGCCACTGCTAGATGCAGGATAATGATGCGGAGCTCTAGTCTTAGTGGAAGTCTGCATAGGAGTCTCAATCTCTAAAGTAGTCCTACAACTAACCCTAGGACTCAAAGGGTCACATGCTGAGAAAAAGTGGGCCTCGCCTTCCAAAAATAGTAGAGCCATCAGAACTTGATCGCAAAGCACTAGAGGCATCAGACCTTAGCTGGAAAGAACTAGGGGCATAAGACCTCGCCCTCCTAGGAAGAGGGAAAGTTACCATCCTAGTTACATAGAGAGCATTCACCATTGATCTATCAACCACGGGATCACCTGTGAAAGTGAGAATTTTCATAAATCAAAAACATCATCAGTTTGCTTGGGTCCTCCGTGGTGTCACCCATGACACCACCCAGCCTCGCACCTTCCTTGGTGTTGTCTAGATTTATATCCATGGCGCCACCCAAGCTTCTTTCCTTTTCCAAGGCGCCACTCGCCAAAACATCTCCATCTCCATGTGCCGAAGCGTCCATGCTTCTTTTCATCCTTTCTCCAACAATGGCGCTACCAAATAAAGAAATAAGCTTCAAACAATACAATGGAATAGCAAGCTGAAGAAGCCACCATATGGAACAAGATATCTACTCCATCCAAATGAAGGAGCTCATTCATGCCCTCAACCCCCTATCACTACTGGGGCTTGGGGCATGGGAGGCAAATGACGAGCCCAAATTTAGACTAGCCCTGGGCCCAGTTCATGGGTTAAGCCCAAATCATCAAAAGGCAGACCAAACCTAGCTCATGACCTCAGTTCAAGAGTCTAGGAAGAGTCAATACACGTGAGAGAGCAATTATCGAGATAGTCATTACTTTAGGATAGTGCCAATCCCCAAATGTAGTTATCCTCCCCGATAGAATAGTAGCTTGACCCTCACGTCACCGCCTCTACCAGGGCTCTATGCCTATAAATTGTAAGCCCTCTACACATTAGGGGGGACAACAATCTCTCACACAGAAATCTCACGCACTTCACCTCGAACATATTCTTGCACTTTCTCTCTCTTCTACTACCTTATACTCTCTCATTAATAGAATTTTTCGGCCATCGTTATCATCTTTAGTGGTTAGATCAGCCAATCTTTGTCTTTTATTATTGACTATTTTATTAATTGTTTTATAACACACACTCGATTGATTAATTATACATAAGTTCACTTTTGTGCATCGTCAAATAACACTGACCATGCGGCTTTAATTATACTATAATGTCCCTGAACCATAACAGTCGCACATAAGCTCTACAACATCCTTACTGCATCCTAAAACTATGGTAGAAAACATCATACATGATAATACTAAAATCAAATATCAAACATATTCATCATTGGGGTGCTGCAAAATTCCAATCCCAAAACCAGGAAATTACAAATTGTAAAACCCATGATTAAATATAAATACAATTATCATACACAACCTACAAACCAAAAAATAATAAGGCCCATATCAGAAATATAAAATTGTAATTATTTGCCAATGCATACATAAATACACACAAAATATTGAAATAAGTCTAAGTGAGTGTGTGTGTGTGTGTGAGAGAGAGGGCTGGAAATACCTCGATAGGTTTGACAGAAGGGGATGCCCTCCATGGAACATCCTTTTGCAGCACAACTCCTTCTTTTCTGGACATGGGTGTTCGGGAGTTGCTCTTATTTCACTATTAAGAGTGAGAAAGTAAAGAGAGGTATGTGAAGGTTTGCATTTATTGCACTAATTATGTAATATGACAGCAACAGAAGAATACCAGAGGAGAGAGGAGGAGGGAGAGATGAAGGAGATAGTTATGGGTGATAAAATTAAAAGTACGTGAATGAGCGGATTGTAGAGAGTTTGAGGAAGATGACAAGCTTGCCGGATTTCAATAAGTCTTCAACATACATGGAATATTGAGGGCCTCTGGTTCTGGGAGAGAGATGGATTCAAGAAAGTTGTATTTGATTTTTTTGCTCGATTTACTAATTTTTATTCTTGGTTTTAAGGTTTTCTGTTCTTTTTTTTTTTTTTTCTGTTATTTGAAAAGCAAGGGCATGTTTGGTTTGCATCTCAAAAAATAGTATTTGAAAATAGTTTTTGAGAAGAATTTTAAGAAAGTGTTTTTGAAAATTTTTAGATTGCAAAACCTGTTTGGTTATGTATTTTTGAAAATAGTTTTAAAGAAAAAAAAAATTATAAAATAATCTACAAAATTAATTTTTAACTTATTACTTTTGACCAAAAAAAAATCACACTTTTTATCTTATTTCTCCAGCTCTAACTCCACCATCATCTAGAGTTTTCTCTCACTTTCCACATTATCTTCTCACAGCCCCACACACAGAGTCATTGCACACCCGCCCACACACACACACACACAGAGATATATATATATATACACATACACATACAAATCATAGATTTGTATATATACAGATCTGTTCAAATCTGCTGCAGAGAGAGAAAGAGGAGATGGATTGCATCAGAGAGAAGACTACAACTGTTTGTTGTCGACCATTGGCCTTCGTCGATGCTCATACGTTGTCGTCGAACTTTGGCAGAGAAGAAGAAAGCAACTGAAGTTAATTGTGGGTGCTCCTATTTTGTAGTTAATGGGATTTGATGGTGAGATCTCATAAATTGGGCTTGTTTCCCATGTTTTCTGTGTTCTGAAAATTTGTTCCCAAATTCAACCAAAACAGCCCCAACTTGTTCTCTAAAAATTCATCTCAATTCTTACTTTTTTTTTTCTGAAAATTAGAGATTGAAAAAACTGACCAAACATGTTTTCATTGTTTTTAGAGATTTGAGAACAAAAAATTGTTTTCTAAGCACAAACCAAATAAACCCAAAATTTCTTTCAATAGTTGAAAAACAAAGTTGTTAAAAATGCCCTTTTTACCTGTAATCAACCGACACAAAAAATAATTATTGGGGAAAATCTTAATACAAAACTTTGTTTAATAATTCAAATAACTCGAGTTTCTTTCAAAGTTAATTTGTTCAAAGTTGTTCTTTTATCTTCCCATGAATTATATATTAATGAGAAATTTGAAGTCGGTCTATTTTTCAAGACTTATTTAGGTCATTCAAAAATTTTGTTTGAGAATAAGTCAATTTCGATTTTCTTTATCTAAAATACTCCTAATACTTATATGTAATTAAAAAAAAATTAAAGACATTAAAATTTTTTCTTTTATATCTATCTATATATATATATATAGATTAGGACTATTTTTGCTGTTAACATTCAATATAAAAAATAGTAACATTCAAACACAAAAAATAGTAATACCAATAACAAAAAACAATAACATTCAAAATAAATAATAGTAACATTTTACATTTCTGGAAATAGTAACATTAAATATTAACAAAAAATAGTAACAATGAATATTAACATTCGGAAAATAGTAATATTGAATATTAACATTCAAGACAAAATATAGTAACTTTGAATATTAACTAGAGAACCATAAAGCAACATAAGTAGTTGATAATGTATAGGCGAGAAAACAGTAATAGACTCACAAAAAAAAAGTTGTAACATAAAAAATTAAATAAAATTGAAGGATCACACCAATAACACACTAAACATTTATAATCAACATTGGCAACTGATGATGCTTAGACGAGAAAATAATAACATGCTCAATAAAAAAATAATAATATAAAATATTAAATAAAATTGAGAGTCAAACAAATAACACACTTAGCATTTTTAAAGCAACATGGACAACCGACGATGAATAGGAGAGAAAACATTAATATGCTCATAAAAAAAAATAACCAAGAACATTGAACAAAATTGGGAGATCTAAAAACCACAAAACTGAAGAAGGAGAAGAAGAAAAATGAAGAAAAAAATTAGATCCATATACCCAAAAAAAAAAATGATCGCATAATAACAAGAACCGAATGGAATGCGCAAGTACAATATGTATAAAAAAAAAAACAACTAGAAAAAAATTCATCTATTATATTTTTTGTCTACAACTACTCTTCTCTAGAGTTCTCTCTCTCCCTCAATGGTGATACCCCCCTAAGGAAGCTACTTTCACTTTCGCCTTCAACACCTAGCTACTTCCCTTACAATCAGTCCTACCATTCTTCTTCCCCATCATCCACAAGATACCCTTCACCTTTTATCAAGCTCTTTCCCCATCATTCACCATCTTTTTAACTATTGTGTTTCATCCAGAAGAAAGGAACCCTCCTCTATCCTATTCATAGTTCTACCCACCTCTTCATTTTCATTCATCACAACCCCCCACTCCCCTCCCCTGCTTCATTGTATAAACCTTTACCACCATTAATCCCCTGTTCCTAGCCCCATCTCTTATTCTTCGTAGGTGACCTTCAATAGTTAGTACCTTAATCTATGATTCTATTTTCACACTTGTGATTCTACCCAAATGGAGAACCAGATGGAAACCCTACCAGAAACAAATAGCCTCAAAATAAATCTACAATCAAACTCAAACACAACCCAATTCCTAACACACTCTTGCCTCATAGGTAAACTATACACAGACCAGAAAATCAATGAGAATGCTATGAGAGCCATACTGGAAAGGGCTTGGAATGCCAAAGAAAGGGTGGAAATCAAAAAAGGTGAAAGTGATACATTCATATTCATATTCACAGAGGAGTAGCATAAACTCAGAATTCTCAATCAGAGTCTATGGATCATAAAAGGGCAGCTCATGGTTCTAAAACAATGGACATCAAAAACTGCCATTACTGACATGCAATTCAATGCAAACCCTTTATGGGTTCAAGCTCAAGGAGTCCCACTAGATATGATCACAAAGGATAATGCTCTAAGGATTGCTAAAGCATTGGGAACGTCAGCCATACCGGAATAACTCCTTCATCAAAAAAACAAAATGGAAAAACTACATCTGCACCAGAGTTCAGATTGATCTAACAAAGCCCCTCCAAAGCCACTTTTGGATGCCAAGAAAAGGCCTCCCAGATAAACTCATTAGCTTGAAATATGAAAGGCTTGGGTATTTTTGCTACAGATGCAGGAGACTAGGCCATGATCAAAATGGGTGTAAACCTTCAAGTAGAATGGGATGTAACTTGGCATATGGGCCATACCTGCGAGCCTCGCCATGGACAGCCCCTGAGTAACAACTAACATCAGACATTGCATCATTGAAAAATTTGGAATCTGAACCATCAGGGATGGTGCGTGAAACCCTAGCCTCTATACCACCGGGGACCACAGTACTGCCAGGCACAATGCATGATCCACGGTCGTACATAGTGTGCACACCACTGCTGATACGATCCTCTGACAACAATACACATGGACATCCGAAAAATAGTCTTCCACCCAAAGCCTTGTCTTTTTCCATGATACTACAAAACCCTAACCACCCCCAATTCTGTCAACCAAGGAATTTACCATTACACCCAACCAACAAAGCCCAACAAAAAACCAACAACAAGCACATTAAGTGACCCAACAAAAAAAATTCACACCACCTGAAAGCCCAACCTAATATAACCATACTCATAGCCCTAACCTCCCACTAGTAGAAGTATCACCTGGAGGTCCACACCAAGCCAAAGCCCAAGGGGATACAACCTATACCCATATCCACAATTGTTTAACAGCAGAAGCACCAAATGGAGCAAATAATAGACTGGAATTTATCCAATCCTCAGTAGCCGTAAATCCTTCGTCTTCTTATCTTCCCAAATCCCCAGCAGTCACAAACCCTTTGTTATCCTCAACCAGGTTGGACACCCCCACAATCCCCAATAAAAACCCCAATAACCATACACCCTTCGTCTTCTTACTCCCTAAATCCCCATTAGCTACAAGCCCTTTGTTATCCTCAACCAGCTTGGATTCTACACAATCACCACCAAGCACAAATGCTTTGCTTCCTTCATCCATCTCAACAACTCAGACTAGTCCTCTAGTCCCCTTATGCTTGGGTACAATCAGTCACCTACCCCCATCAACTATTGCAAGCACTATAATCTACCCAAACCAAGACCTTTACCTTCATCCAAACAGGTAAGCAAAAAACCTCCAATTGAATGAGGAAGCATCGCAAGCACTCCCCCCAAATCTCATGAATTTGATTGATGAATGTCCTGCTAAGGTGATCAACAAGCTGTCCCTAAAACGAAGCCCCTTTGAAGACACAGAACACCAAATACACTCAAAGATACACAGGCAAGAAGATGGATCCCATATCATAATTTATCACATTGAATCTGATAACACTCATGCACAGACAAGAAATTGAACCAACCCCTGAACCCCCAATAACAATCCTTGCACCCTCCAATGTAACCTGATCCTACAATCAATACACTGTCACAAAGCCAGATGATGAACCAGAATCCAACCCAAAAATTACTTCTGCACCAAATCAACCCACAAACAAAAAGCCAATTCGCAAATTCAAAATCTAGAAATCAATCACAAGGAAGATCCAAGAAACACCCAATGAGCTCCATGAACTTAGAGTTAAATGGAAGGAAGAAGTACCAATGGCTGAGGAGGCGGGTCATACCATGCCCCCACCCCACTTATGATAGGATACATATGGAACTGTCAAGGGTTAACCCATACCTCGATGGTTCACCATCTAAGGGCACAAATAAGGGAATTCAACCCAGACTTTTTATTCATAGCAGAAACAAAAATTGCAAAAGAAAAAATAGGACAAATTCTAAGAAGCCTAGGCTACTATAGCTTTGAAATCCAAGAGTCCAGAGGTCATTCAGGAGGAATATGTCTATGTTGGAGGAAAGATATGCAGATTGACATTGTGCTATCCCCCAATTACATCATCTTTACATAATTACCTAGTGGGCAATCAAAAACTGGATGGATGTTGAATTGTGTATATGCCCTACCTAATAGAATATTACAAGGAAAATTGTGGGAAACAATGGTGCACGTAAGTTCTAATTTTCAAGGCCCTTGCCTATACATCGGTGATTTCAACAATATCACTTCACAGTGAGAAAAGAAGGGGGAAAACTGTTTGTTTCACCATTTACTGGAGGTTTTGGAGAATTCATAAATGAACAGGGGCTGATAGACATGGGTTTTGAAGGAAATCCATACACCTAGACAAACAAGAGGGAAGGACTGGCCAACATCAAGGAAAGATTAGATAGAGGGATCGTGAATGATGAATGGAGACTCTTATTCCCAAGAGTCACTATAAAACACTTGTCTGTCATCGAATCGGACCATAATCCATTGTTGCTGAACACACAAGGAGATCAAAACACTTTCCCTAAACCATTCAAGTTTGAGGTCATATGGACTAGAGACGTGAATAGTCACTTGGTGGTAAAGAATTCGTGAAGAATGAAATGGGGGATTCACTTGCCTACAGATTTTATAGGAAGCTCCAAGCTACAAAGGAAGGACTTAAAAAATGGAATAGAGAAAAGTTTGGGAACTGCATCTATAAGACAAAGGAACTTAAAAGGAGGATTGACCACCATTAGCAAGCGGAGCCAACAACAGACAATACACTTGAAGAAAAAATTCTCTCTATTGAGCTAGTAGAACAACAAAAGAGAGATGAAGTTTTATGGAGACAGAGATCCAGAATTCAATGGCTAAAAGAGGGCGATGCTTGTACCAAATTCTTCCACAAAACCACGGTAATTAGGGGAAGAAGGAACTCTGTTGACTGTTTAAAGGACAACTGGACCTCAGACAGAGATGAAATCGATGACATCTTCTCTTCACATTTCCAAGAACTTTTTTCCTCAACACATCCCCAATTTTCGGAAGACCTTGAACACCTTTTCACACCCATTATTCAACCAGATCAACAAGCTGCCCTCTATTCCATATTGATGCCAGAGGAAATTAAGACCATTTTGTTTGCTATGCCTCCACTTAAAAGCCCTGGTCCTGATGTGATGTCCACTATCTTTTCAAAGCCTACTGGCAAGTCATAGGGACCTTATAGATATGGTAAAAACCTTTTTCGCAGGGGTTAAATGCTTAGAAAATTAAATAGAATATTTATTTGCCTCAACCCTAAATCCACTAACCCCACCACTGCCCACCAATATAAACCCATTAGCTTGTGTAACGTGACCTATAAGATTATTTTCCAAAATTCTGGCTAATAGGATTGACTATTCCTTGATTAGATCATCTCCCCCACCTAAACAGCCTTGGGTGCATGGCAGAAATATAACTGAAAATCTTGTCCTTGCCCAAGAAGTCATCCATTAGTTGAAGAGGAAAAAAGGAAAGGGGCACTATTGGTTCTAAAACTAGATATGTCTAAGGCTTTTGATAGGGTTGAGTGGCCACTCTTTGTTAAAATTCTATCACTGATTGGTTTTCCTTTTGCAGTTCATTCAATTAGTTGAGCAATGCATTTCTACCACCTACTTCTTTGTCCTTATTAATGGTGGTCCATTAGGGAACTTCACTAGGAAGAGGGGTCTTCGGCAAGTAGACAACTTTTCGCCTTTTCTCTTCATCATTTGTACAGAGATTCTCTCTAGATTAATTTCTAGGGAACTACATTAGGACATCTCAAGGAAATCAAATTGCTAGC